TTGGAACCCAATTGAGTTTAATCTCCTCTCGTCCCACATAGGAGAATTCTCGATCTCCTTCTTTCTCTCCAGAACAATTGATGGTGCGTTGCTTAAATTCTCCGCCATTTATGGTCCAAACTTAGCTTCCCCCTTGTCTGGTCTGAATTGGATCTTGTAGCAGCCTTACCACATTTTGCATCGTGCCTGGGTGATGATTTCGATATCACCTGATGGTCTCATGAGAGAAACTTCAATACCAATATTTCCCAAGGAATGTTGGATTTTTCTGACTTCATCTCCCGACATGAACTTGTAGACATTCCAATTCAAGGGAACGCCTTTACCTGGTCCAATCACTTTGCTCAACCCTCCCTGGCTAAACTGGATCGTTTCCTTCTGTCCTAGATTGGGAAATTGCTTTTCCTGGTTCACATGCACTTACCTTGCCTAAACCTACCTCAGATCATTGCCCCATTCTTCTTGATACGCAAGCGATTGGTAGGGGGCTAAAACCCTTTCGGTTTGAATTGGCTTGGTTGGAAGAGTAGTCCCTTGTGATTGTCATCCCCAGTTGGTGGATATCTTTATCTTCCCAAGTCTCTGGTAGAGAGGGATTCAAGCTACAAACCAAACTCCAGCTGCTCAAAAAGTTCTTAAAAAATTGGAGCCTGTCTCAGCCAGGGAATTATTCTCAGTTAAAAATCTCTTGGCTCAACTGTATCCAAGACCTTGATAAAATTGAGGAAGGTAGACCCCTTTCAGACTCTGTAAGTACAGGTCCGAACCCAATCCAAGCTGGAATACCTTTCTACACTCAAGAAAGAAGAGCTTTTTTGGTACCAGAGATCTTGGGTCAAATGGTTAAAATCAGGGGACCAGAACACTGCCTTCTTTCATCGTATAGCCAACTGTAGAAGGAGAGAGAATTTGATATCCACAACTAAGGTGGATAACAGGTTTCTTACCCAGCCTGATAAAATCGAAAATGCCATCCTAAATTTTTTCATGTCCCTCTATACTGCCCCTGTGGGACACAGGCCAAGGATGACCACTTCGGATTTCCTAACTGTTCCTGAACATTGGTTTGGCAAGTTGGAAGGACCTTTTACTGTCGAGGAAATCTCAATCGCCATTGACCAATTAGCTAAAGACAAAGCACCAGGGCCGGATGGTTTTCCCATGGCCCCTTTAAATCTTTCCTGGGTACTTTCCTACCTGTTTTTAGGAGTACTTTCCTACTTGTTTTTAGGAGCTTCTTTGAAGAATTTTTTTATAAGGGGATCCTCAACAAAGCTATCAATGACCCTTGTCCCTAAGAAAGAAGGTGCTGAAGAGCTCAAGGACTTTCGTCCAATCAGCTTACTCAACTCTTCATACAAAATTTTGGCCAAGGTATTGGCTTCAAGACTCAAGCAGGTTCTTCCTTTCATCATCTTGCAGTCCCAATCAGCTTTCATCCAAGAAAGGCTGATCCTGGATGGTGTGGTGGTTGCTCATGAGTGTATCCACTCTAGGCACCTATCCAAGAAACCAGGCTTGATTTTCAAAATCGATTGGGAGAAAGCATATGACCACGTGGACTGGTCATTACTGGATGAGACGATGGCTAGAATGAATTTTGGTCCTCGATGGAGAAAATGGATTAATGGTTGTATTTCTACCCCTCATTTCTCTGTCCTTATAAATGGTAGCCCTAAAGGATTCTTTGTTTCTTCGAGGGGCCTCCGTCAAGGGGACCCGCTATCTCTCTTTCCGTTTACAATAGTAGCCGAGGTTTTCAGCAGGTCTATCTCTTGACTCTATGAGGAAGGACTACTTTCGGCTTTCCTCTGTAGCTCTCAAGGTCCTTTTGTATCACACTTGCAATACGCAGACGATACCCTAGTCTTATGCGGTTCCTCAGCAAACCGAGAACCTCAGAATTTTCCTCAAATGCTTGCCACTGGTTTCAAAGTAAATATGGAAAAATCAAAAATGATGGGAGTGGGCCTCACACTTCAAGAAATCCGATCCTTGATTCCTTCCTTGGATGGTAAAGTTGAGGACCTCCCTACCACTTATCTGGGGATCCTTTTAGGTTTAGGGAAACCAAAAAAGAGACATTGGGCCCAAGTGATTGATAGAGTTGATTGACGTCTAGCTGGGTGGAAAGGAAGATTCATTTCCCTAGCCGGTTGTTCTACTTTGGTTAAGGCTACACTGGCAAACTCCCTATTTACTGAATGTCCATCTTCCATATGCCAGTGTTGGTGGCTAATAGATTGGATCAACTGATGAGGAACTTTCTGTGGTCCGGCCAAGCTGAAAAATCGAGACATCACCTAATCTCTTGGGATAGAGTCCGAATGCCCAAAGCCCATGGTGGTTTAGGTATCAGAGATCTAAGACAACATAATCTCGCTCTGTTGGGGAAGTGGTGGTGGAGATTGGCCACCCAACCAAACTCTTTCTGGGCACAGGTTATTCGGAATAAATATAACATTCCGGACCACAATTGGGTACTTGAGAGGCCATCACAAAGTAGGGCTTCAGGAGTTTGGAAATCCATCGCCTCTTCTCTTGTTCAGTTCAAGAAAGTGCTTCGTTTCCATCCAAAACAAGGAAATAGAGTTTGCTTTTGGTCTGATTTGTGGATTGGACATGCTCCTCTGAGGGACTTATTTCCTAGCCTGTTTCAACTTGGTTCCGACAAGGAGTCCAATTTTGAAGATGAAATGGTCTTGGCAGGGGGCATGGAACTTGGAACCCATGTTTCGAAGGAATCTCTCTGAGGAGGAAGCATTAGCTTTTACCACTCTTTCGGATGCTCTTCACCAAGTGTTCTTACCTCCATCAGGGAGTGATTCCTTGGTATGGACACTATCCCCATCTGGTAAGTTGTCAGTAGCATCTTTCTATATGAAACTTATCCAACCTCCTACTTTCCCTTTAAATCCCATCTCTCCTCTCTCCAAAGTGTGGAACACAATAGCTCCTCCAAAAGTTCAGTCTTTCAACTGGATAGCTGGCTGTCAACGGACCCCCACACTTGATCAGCTAAAAAAAGAGGCATTCCACTCCCTAACAGGTGTGTTATGTGCCTGAAAGAAGAGGAGTCAAACCCCCACCTTTTTCTACATTGCAAGGTGGCTTTTGAGCTTTGGACACTGATTTTACAATTATTTAGTCTCAAATGGGGCCTCCCACATTCGGTTAAAGATCTATTCTTCATTACTCAGAAGGTCCTTGGCCCAAAGCAGGTAGAACCTTGTGGAGGGCAGCAATCGCTGCTACTGTATGGGTTTTATGGCTAGAAAGAAATGAGAGGGTCTTTTAAGGACACAGCAATGAAGTTTCAGAGCTGCTTCATAAGGTTACATCGCTCGTAACTTTTTGGGCTTCCACCCACAATATCTTTGGTGGGATTCTTATGAGTTCTCTTCTCAGGCAATGGGACAATATTATCCAACTACAGCCTTTCAAGCTACAACGACCTCACAACTGGTAACCTCCTCCAGAAAATGCCATAAAAGCTTAACTTCGATGCCTGTTCCTTGGGAAACCCGGGCTATTCAGGAGTAGCGAGTGTTTTCTGTGACCACAATAGAAATATTTTCATGACATACTCAGCATATGTTGAACATGGAGATTCACAATTTGCCGAAGCATTGGCACTCCTAATGGGCCTAAAATTTTTAATCCATCTTGGGGCCAATCTTTAGTGGTGGAAGGAGATGCAAAAAACATTATATCATGGGCAGCAGGCACTACTAACCCCCCTTGGTACCTTTCTAGAATTTTTGATGAAATTTACCACTTATGCAGCGATACCAACGTCTATTGGGCGCATACTTAGCGGACGTCAAACGAGTTCACCGACCTCCTCGCTAAATATGGTGTGTGACTACGACCACACTTGGAAGACAATGAATAGTCCACCTCCTTTTTTGCACTGGACAATCGAGGTCTTCTAGGACACTAGATCGTTTGGTCTTTTATTTGTAACAGGGCATGCTTATAAGCGCAATTTTTTGTGACCTCAGTCTTTTGGTTACAGCCACTTCTAAAGGAAATAGATTGTATTGGGTTTATGGCTTAATTTTTGGAACTGAGATACCTGGCTCGTGGGTATTCTCGGTCCTCTCCCACCGCTTTCTGCTGTATTCCTCTCTTTTATATAAGTAATGCAATGTTAACATTATCAAAAAAAAAGATGGACCATATGAATTGATCTATGTAAGCTGGTAGGAACTGTTGTGATGCCTCCTTTTCTCTATGGCTGTCAAGCACTTCTGAACTCTAAACATACATACTCATTTTTTCTGTTCTAAATTGGATAATTTCTACTGGGCCCATTGATTTGGCTTGGCAAATTTCTGAACTTACAAGACACCAGTCAAGGATATTTCTGAACTAATTAGTGTTATCACCAGAGCATCATGGAACCTTTTGAACTTATGTTGACTCGAGCAAGAGTTGCTCTTCAGGGAGAGCACCTCCATGTGACAGCATACTTTATTATTAGAGTTTTTCTATGTGTATCCGTGTGTTTTCTATGTACATGAATGGACTTCCAGTCATCAGAAGTTCTTGATGTACGCACCCCTTTTTTTGAGTAGAGACTAGGATTAGCAAAAGCATGGGCACAGGAAGTGAAAACATGATTGTAAATGGCAATTCCTATAATTATTATTGTTATTTGTTGTTGTTTGTAATTGTTGTTGTTTGTAAATCAGTTCAAACTCATGACCTCCAAATAGTTGATCCATGAATTTGAACCCTGATGTAAAATGTACTTTGTAAAGTTGTTGACAACTGAAAAGTGTTCTATGAAAGAAGCAATTTTTTTGGGTTTTTTGAATACGAGTGAGAATGATCACGAGTCTTATGTCCTAACGTGGTATCACGGTGTGTACTTGTTATTGTTTTCCCTTTCATTTTCCTTTAAACTCAATAAATAATTTGTCTCTGAACTCTTTGCACTTTTTGTTTCAATTGTTTCCCTATAACTGTTTATTTCTTCCATTAATTCATTGCAGGTAGTCCATGTGCCGTGGTGACTTTCCTTTTTTCTCAACTTGTCGGTTATGCAATAATGGCTACACTCTTTCCATTTGTATGTGTGGAGTTCTTTTTCTCTGTATTTATTTTATAGATTTAATGATGGTTGTGCAATTGTTTCTTCCAAAATTTTCTATCTATGTTATCCTTCATCAGATTCCAAAAGATTCTAAGCATTCTATTAAGACACTCAAAATATCTTAAGGTTAAAAATGTGTGCAATTCCCTTGAAGAATGGAAAATTTTTCCTCTCTCTCTCTCTCTCTCTGTCTCTATCTCTCAAACATCCTTAGCTATAAGCCCCTTTTGTTACCTATGAGCCACTTGGACCCGCAAAAATCACACTAATTATAGGTGTGGCATTCTCCGTACCGGCTTCTTGTCTGCTGTTTGCATGATTTCTTGAACTCTTGGCATATGCCTTTTTACTGACATTGCAACAGTATGGTGTTTCAGTTTATGCTTGCTGCTACTGCCAGTCATGTTGATCAGGTTATAGATTCTCAAAAACGATCATGGGAAAATGAGGGACCACCAAGGCTTCCAGTATTTTATGCTGCTAATGCGTTATCGTAAGCATCATCTGTTTTCATGCACTTGCATATTAATTTGTCAAATAAATTGCTTGACATATTCAGTCCAAATTTATTTACTAAAGAATTATTCATATATTTAGGTTCCTTCTTTGTTGAGGTTTTGTTTCTTCCAAGTTCAGGCACTAAATGCTAATTACTATAAATTGATTATGTGCATTAATATACTCTTTTGGGGTTGGAGCAGCTATGTCAGTCACAATTTAGCTGAAGTTTGTCACCAGATATACTGATTGAAAAAAGTGTCATTCTTTGATGGTAGGACCCTTTTACCCTTTTAGAATTATGGCTTATAGGGATCTTGCTGTATTATATGGATGTTGGTTTGTAGATCATAAAACTAGGTTGATTGGGTATCCTCAAGTGAGTTGGTTCTTTACAACCAAGATTGGTTATCTAATGACATTTTCTGCCAATAGGTTGCATTGATTGTATACACTAGAAAGAACTGCCTGGAATCTCATTTTGTAGCATTGCAGATATATTCTACATCACTAGATTAATTAACTAATTTCTGCCATTTGGTTTAGGAAATGGGCTTGTTGGTCTTTAGATCATCACATTGAAGCTTTCAAGGAGTTGCATGTTAAAATTTGGGACAGTCAGGAGTGGACTCCATTAATCACAACATTCTAAAATTTGTATTACCATATCCCCATATGTGGGAAATAGCATTAAAAATGTTAAAAGCTTTTCGGAATGCAAGTATGTACTCAAAAAGTTCTTTAACCAATTCCATGCATAAAAAAATGGTCTCGACTCAAAAAGTTCTTTAACCAATTCGATGCATCAAAAGAAAAAAAAAAGGTCTAGAACATGGACAAATTATTTGGTAACCATCAAATTCGCGCATAGTCTGTCATTATTCATTGTGCTTCATGTTTGCAGATTGCACATTATGCGATGGTTGACTGAGCTGCAGAAACAGAGCCAAACAAAGCACAAAATGGATGAGTAGTCTCTATTAAATTGCCATCCTAAACAAGGGATGCCTTAGTGTTAATATTTTCCGTTTTGCAGAAGCATGAGACGAATATCTTCATCAATGTGAAGCTGCTTGAAGTTGGTCGCTGGAAGGCATTTTTGTGAATCTATCCTTTCCACTATTTCATTATGAATGCCGGCGTGTATATGTGTAAATATGACAGGTGATTTTATTCATACAGCGACTGTTGGTTGTGTTAGGAACTGGTAGGACTCATACGGTATTTATAAATCATGGTTGTGCTGTATTTTTTGGAAAAAGTTTTTTTTTTTAATGGTAACATATGACTTATCATTAATTCAAATGTAAAATATAAGAAATTTTAACAAAGACACGAGATTACAAAAACGAAGTAACCAACAAGGATGCAGTATAGACTCCTTTGGCAAGAATATCGGCATCTTCATTCGCATCTCTATAACAATGTTGGATCGTTGTCATAAAGGTTGACAAAATATCTCAAATTTGATGAAAAATAGCCTTTAATTTTCAAAGAATATGGGCTTTTTTTTTGTTCCAGGCAATGATATTTGCCGAGTCTCTTTCAATAATTCTGCCTCTTTTCAAAGTGCATAGCAATTTTGAACCTTCTAATAAACCTGGTGTATCTACCTCATGTACAGTTGGAATACCATAAGGACCCAAATAAGAGAATATAATTTGACTCAAATTATTTTTGATGAGACCACTATAGCCAGCTGATCTTGAATTCTCAAAATTAAGCTTGAAGGAGTTCACTGGTGGTGGTATCCAAATAGCTTCATTATGAGTGTTGGTGGTAACACTCAGTTGCAACTGTCAAAAGATTGTTAAAGATAAGATTTTTAAGAATAGAACTACTATCCTTATGAGTAAAGAATCAATCAGTTGAACTGTCAAAATATTTTATTTTAATGTAGATAGATCTTTACTTATGTTATCAAAAACTTTTATATTTCTTTCCTTTCGCACACTCCAAGGAAGACTAATCTAAATAGATCTCCAAATAACAGTTCTTTTTTTAAAAATATTGGGTGTGATCTATTGGTCAAGAGTAGTTCTGACATTATAAGGCAAAGGTAATGATAGATTGAGGCACTGTCGAGCTCAATCTCAAATATATATAACAAAAGGGCATAAGGGGAAAAGATGTTAGGAAGTTTCACCACTGCCTTTGCATAGGATGCATACATTAGTGATAATAAACCTTATTTCTCAAATTGTTAACAATTGCTAATTTATCTTGACACATGATCTATAAGAATAGCTGCATTTTAAGAAACACATGCTATTTCTTAATCTTGAATAAACCAGGATCCAACACTCTCCAACTATCAGAAAATAATAGATTATAGGTCGATTTAACCGAAAAATCTCTCGAATTGGTAAGATTCCAAATAAAGCTATCATCCATATTTGGAGTCAAATATGTCTCATTCAATAATTCGAACAATGTTTGATACTCCTCAATGAATTTGTTTATACCTTTCCTATACTTACAAGGAATGGGCAAACACTTTTAGTATAAACACCCTCGTTGGCCTCATTGACAGATGCTAGTAGGTTTAAAGCTTTTGAGAAAACGTCAGGGAAAAGGTATCTCGATGTCTCATCTCCAATCCATTTGTCAAACCAAAAGAGAGTAAATTCTCCATTTTCCACTATTTTTCAGAATTGACATAAATAAACAGATCTCTCATAGTCAATACATCTCTAAACATGGGACAAACTTGCCTTGTTTTTTAGACTTTTAATTGGGCCAAAGTTCAAATCTATTTTATCTATATCTCTCAGAACAAGCGCTCCAAAAGACTCAGGTTGCGTATGGATCATCTACCATCATTTTATTAAAAGTGTCGAGTTCATATGTTTCAATCTCCTAACACCCAATCCTCCCTCTTTCATTGGTCTACAACTTTTTCCCAACTCACAAGATGAAGTCTTTTCCTTCTTATGTCATCTCCCCACAAGAAATTTCTCATAATTCTCTCTAGTTACTTTTCAACTTTTTTTGGCATCTTAAATAAGGACATAAAATATACTGGGAGGTTGGACAAAGTGGATATAATCAACGTATATCTTCTCCCCATAGAAAGATTAGCTTTCCAAGTGTTCAGTTTCTTGTCAAATCTCTCCACCACCGGATTCCAAATTGATCTTGAAGGCTTTAAATCCACTAAGGGAATTCACAAATAAGTACAAGGTAAGGACTCAACCCCACAACCTAATAAGTGTGTGATTCTTAATACACAACCATTTACGGACAACCAATACCAATGAGCTTGGTTTTACTCAAAGTAGCTTTAAGTCCAGTTGAGAGTTCTACATTTTTCAAAAAAATCTATAGGCAAGTGATTTCCTTAACCGTAGGATCACATAATATAATGGTATCATCAGCATACTGTAAATGTGATACTATAATACCATTATGACCAATATTAACACCTGATATGATCATCTACACTGTCAATTCATTAAGCATGACACTAAAGCTCTCAACTACCAAAATATATAAAAATGATGAATCATCTTGTCTCAATCCTCTTGATCATTTGAAAAAACCAATTGGTTTAGCATTAACAAGAACCGAAAAATGGGTAGAAGACAGACAATCATCAATCCACAATCTTCACCTTGAACAAAAACTCATTTTAGCCATGATACTTTGTAATACCCCCCAATCAACCTTATCATATGCCTTCTCAAAATCTAGCTTTCAAATAAAGCCCGATTTTTCATCATTGATTCTTGAGTGGATATATTTTTGTGCAACCAAAATATTATCTATAATTTGCCTATCTTTTAAGAATGTTCATTGTGGTCCTTTAATAATCATGTGAATCACTTGGCGCAGTCTATTGGCTATAATCTTTGCTATGATTTTATATAGACTACCAATAAGACTAATAAGCTGAATATCCTTTATTTCTGCAATGACATTTTTCTTTGGAATTAAAGCAATAAAAGTGGAATTCATGACGATATTAATTTTACCTCTCTGATAAAATTCTTCTAATAATTGAACAATATCATCTTTCAAAATATCCCAAAAAGATTAAAAAAAAAACCATTGGGTATCCATTTGGGCTAGGAGCCTTATCTCTGCCTAAGCCAAAGATTACATCTTTGATTTCTTGCTCTTCAAATTTTCTGTCCAACCACTGAGCTCATTCTAACGGCAACCTAGCAAAAGGTAGATCTTGAATGGATAGTTGAATCCCACTATCGGCCTCATAAGAACTCTTAAAATGATCAACCAGTGCCGTTTCAACCTTTGACATGTTGTCACAGTCTCTTCCTTCAATACGGAGGCTTTGAATTGAGTTAACCATTTTCCTTGCATTAGCAAAAGCAATAGATCTCGTGTAAATTATGATTGGACCAGGTATAGTTAGCCCCAATAAAAGGAAGATCAATCAATTCATGCTGTTTTATAAAATCTTCAAATAATCTCATACAAGAAGACATAGGAAGAGAAGATGTAAATTCACTTGACCATCTAATAATATTAAAGTCACTACAAACCAACCAAGACACATTTAAATTTAACTGAATATTTGCTAGTTTCTCAAAAAAAGTCGATCTATCAACAGCTCTGTTAGACCCATATACCACTGATAAACACCAAGAAAACTTATCTAAAGGCCCTTGGAAAACAATCGAAATGTGTCTACTTGAAATAAAGTTTTGTTAAGCACTCAAAACCAAACGGTCCCAGAGGACCCAAATACCACTAGAATAACCAGAAGCATCTACTCCAAAAAAATCCAAAGAACTGTTTCTTCAAACCAGTCTAGCAATGCGAAGAGTCGGGTCCTCCAATTAGTTTCCTGGAGAAGTAAGAGATCAGGTCTTTCCTTTCTGCAAAAAAAAATAACATCTCTCTTGCGTTGAGCACTATTGAGTCCCCTAACATTCCAACATAACACTTTCATACAGACTAGTAACCATCTCTATGTTTGGTGACCCTTGAAGGACCAGCAAACATAGGCTGTAAAGATTCAAACTGTGTGCGAGAACAAGCACTTACCTCACCGTGATCATAGTTAATATGACATACCAAATTGTCAAGTTCTCTTTGAAGCCATCCTTTCTTCTTGGAATTCTAAATTTTGCTCCCAATAAGCCTTTCTTCTAGTTCATTTTTATGCTCCTCCTTTAGGATATTTGTAATGGCATCAAGAGAGTCACTGTAACGCACATTAATTGCATCCAAAACATTACCAACTTCCAAAGGTCGGATCACTAAGGACGTGCCATCATCGACATTTTCATAGTCATCATATCTCTCAAAGTCATCTAGTACAGGAATTTCATCATCAGCATCATCACTTGGTGGTCTCATAGCAATCGGAGGAACTATCAGAGGTTCTTCCATCTCATGTTCTTTGATGCTTCGATACTGTTAGCAATCGGAGGAACTAAAATTTTTCATTGAAATAAACAGTAGGGCCTACATGTGATGAGAGTTTCTTCAATAAGTGACTGGAGTAGCCATTAAATATACGGTTACCTCGGCTTTGCAGTAGGTGACCACTAAATATTCAATGAATTGCCCTTACATCTATTCACAAGACTTGACCAATGCATGATTCATTTCTTGCATGTTTGGCATGGTTGAAGATAAGATGTTTTTTCCAGTACATATAAAGCTGGACAAGTTTTGAAACATCTATCCAGATCAATAATTGGTGATCGGGATCAAATTCACTCCAACTTGGCTCCTTTGAAGGATTGGGAATCTGTCTGATTCAATAGGGACCGCCCTATTTTGTTAGGGAATTGGGCGGTTATGTCAAGAGATTCCGAAGTAGAATTGAGTGATTCTCACCTAATTTAAGTCTTAAATATTTTTAATCTTGTAGTCTTTTTTTCACCCAGGGGAATTAGACGATCGGGACCTGTTTGCTGAAGACCCCATCCAGGACCCAATTCTAGGCTTTAAAGCATTGTTATTCCTCGTATTGTGCAGGGACCATGGGAATCTTTTCTATATCACTCCAATGTCATCAAATGTGTCTAAGAAGACTCGATTGATCTCAATACTTGTAAATTTTCCTAGTCTGTTTTTTAGGGGAATTGCTTGCAATTAGTCTAACCTCCCTTCAACAGCTCGTCTTTTCTATGGGTGAATAGACAACTTATGATCAAACCACTCTTGAACAGCTCGCCTTTTTTGTTTTTGGGGTGAATAGACAAATAGCCTATATCTCCTTGTAAGCGTGTATAGACAATAGCTTAGACAGTCTGCCAGCATTTTCACAACTGTCACGC